GCCCAGAATTCCTCAGCCAGCTTTGCTGGCTGAGGAATTCTGGGAGTTGAAGTCCACAAGTCTTAAAGTTGCCAAGGTTGGACACCCCTGCTTTAGACCTTGTTTATACTGATAATAGCCTGAGCTCAATTTCATTTTTCTTTATTGAAATGCATAAAACGGGAGATTAAACAATAAGTGCACTAATTAATTCAGATGTGTGTCAATGAGAGGCTCCCCTCAAAATTGCAATAACTATTACAGCCTTGTCTTGCTTCTTTCTCTTTCTTCACCTATTTCCTCTTTCTTTTCTTGCCTACATGATGTCAACCAGCTCCACAGTGCCTACTCAAAAGATCCACTGAGATTAACAAACATTGCTCCCAGGAAAGCAGGAGAACGAAGTTGCAGGTTAGATTCTTTTATATGCCTTTTAATGCTTTCCTGAAAACGTGGATGAACCAGGACCAGCATTAGAAAGACAACAGGAAAAGGTCTCGAGTTGCTTTGCAATTAAAAGTTAGCATCAGGATGACTTCGGTGAAATATTCGTGTTGATTCATATATTCTTATAACACTCTGGTCAGCAGAAAAAGATATTTATTTTCATGGTTTTTTTTTTTAAATAGAGGGAAATGAGAGATTAGATGAAGCTAATACCCATAATTCCCACTGTAGAAAGCCTCTGGTACTCAAGTAATGATGGTGTATTTAATAAGCAAATCATGTTTACATAAACCATGGCTAACTGTATATGATACCAGAAAGAGCTGTTAAGGCAGGAAACAAGTTTACTAACTCATTGTAGGGCCAAATGTAAAGTCCTTGCAATTTTCCAGGCTCATGAGTATCTAACATACTTTCTCACAGGATTTAGTAGGACTTGGCAGGTCCGTTTCTTTTAGACTTTAATTTTTATGGATCCTTTTTTTAATTGTCCAGGGATTGATTTTCTGTTTCCACTAAGTTTCTGCAATGGGAGAAGAAACTATCTTTTTTTTTAAAAGCTTTCTATAAACGCCATCTGTGAAGTAGACCCATTCTGATTTTTTCAGATATATAATGCAGCTAAACGAGACTGATTATTGTTGTCCAATAGTCTGAACAGAACGTTCAAGTTCGAGGTTGGTGAAAGAGGAAATTCAGTCATGAATATTGTTCTGAAACAGATTCTCAAAGCACACCTGGCTTGAGAGTAAAGCTACCTTTAAACCAGGATAGACAGAGTAACTCCCAAAAGGCTCAATGGGCTTCCACTCTATGCGACCTTTCAGAGGTGACTTCAAACAGATCTTGCAGAACTTAGTGTCTTCCTAAGAATCTTTTTAAAGGTGGTTTCCATAGCTATTTAGGAGCCTGGGTTCCAGAAACAATCGTCAAGAACCACTCTTAACGTTTAATACAAAAAGCCCTTTTAATAAGGGCTTATGGCCTGCCGTGACAAAACCACACTATTTCCAAATCCTTCAACCTTTGACAGTGGAAAGTCCTTCCGAAGGTTGACTGTCGTCCCAAGATCTGATAGAAATGAAAATAAAATAGAATACCTCTACATTGGTCATGGACCAGAATAATAAACAGCTTTATAGTAGGACTTAGTGGACAGGGCTCAGATGAAAAATACATACTTTTAAAAATTATTATTAAATCATGAATTACTCTCCTTAACTTAAAAGAGGCTGCTGCCAGAGTGACACAAAGAGCATCCAGAAGTAGTTGGGATGACAGAGCACCAAGAAACCAAGAGCTCCTGAGATGTCAAGGCCGGTCCCTTTTCTCCATGCCCACTAGAAGCACTGAGGCCAGGTTCACACATTACACCAAGCCCCAAATTGTTTTAGTTTACCTTGTGGAACCCCCACAGTCACAAACTGTCTTAAGTTGGTTGGTGTCACAAGCCAGTCTAAGTCAAAATGAAGCAATCCAAATCAGGGATTTTCCTGCTAGGCGAACCAGGCCAAAAACATCCAGTACTTAAAAAGGGAGGCTTTCATTCTTCCTTTCCAGACCCTTCTCAAATTGCTTCTCACCCAGAAACCCCGTGGTCTGATAATCCACCGGTTTCACGAGAACACCGCCAGGTAAAAGCTTTTGGGGAACCAACTCAGAAGTCAACTTTTCCGATTCCATCTTCCAAGGAGCTGCACTTAACCTGCGACCTTGCCTTGAAGCTTGGAGCGACCGATAGGCTTCATCACAGCCTGCTACAACCACGCACGGATCTGTTCCCTTTCTACCGTGGAAAGCGCCGCGCCTCTGAAGAAACGGCTGGGGTGGGGGGAATTAAAATCTCCCGAGACAAAACCGAGAAGCTCCCCTGCAGAGGATGCCTTAGTCTTGGAGACCATCCGGGGGGGTGCAGAGTTAACCGCTGCTCTTCGGGCGTGGATAGAGGTGCTGCCCATTTCCTCTCCCCCCACCACCCGAGACGGGGAAGAGGACGGAGCCTCGCTTATTCGGCTGCCTCCAAGAGACCCTTTCTGGGCCAGAGGGGAGATGCTCGCTCCCCGCTCCACCTTCCACCGGCTCTGCGGTCGCGGGGCTGATGGAGTCGTCTCCCGAATCGGCGGGCCGGACAAGGCTGACAGCAGACAAAAGCGCGTGTTGCCAGGCTGTTTGCCTCCGAGCGTAAAACCAGCTCTGGCCTCGGGCTGCTTTCCACCCGCAGGAGAGCGAAGAGCGGGGCAGGAGGCAGCGGCGCCCGCGGGTTGCGCTCCAAGTCAAACGTGCAGTTTGGAGGCGAAGGAAAACTCGGGCCCAGCCGTCCAGCCCGCGAACGAGCGAAACCAAGAAGATCGCCTCCCTCCCCTCGAAACTCGTAGTCCTAAAAGACGCCGGCCTGATTCCTTCCCCCCCCCTCGCTGGGGGGGTGTCTTCGAGACCAAACATTGGGCTTGTTCCTGCCCCCCCCCCCCCATTTCTTTCCGGACCGGAGAAAGGAGGAACAACCAATTCCCACAACACTGTCAACTTATTTACTAAGTGTATTACTATTAGTCCTCTCATCCTTCCTAGTACCTCTCTCCTCCCACTTATGACTATAACCGCGTTGCTTGTACTTTTATATTGTTATTGTTTATAATTATATAAACAATTTATATTGTTTTGTTTGCAAGTATGATTTGATTGCTTATTTAGTATCCTATGATTGTCACTAAGTGTTGTATCTTATGATTCTTGATGAATGTCTTTTTTCCTTTATGTACACTGAGAGCATATGCACCAAAGACAAATTCCTTGTGTATCCAATCACACTTGGCCAACAAAGAATTCTGTCTGTCTGTCTGTCCGTCCGTCTGTCCGTCCGTCCGTCTGTCCGTCCGTCCATCTTCCTACCTACCTCTCTACCCATCTATCTATCAATTTTCCTACCTACCTACCTATCTAGGTAGCTCTTTCCCGAAGCCCTAATTGCGGACCCCTCCAGGAGCTCTCCCGGCATGAGTTAGGGGTCGCCGATCCTTTCATTTCTCTGCCTCGTCGAGGGTTTCCTGGCTCCTTCCCTGGGCCCGCAGCAGCCGCGTCCACTGGCCGAGCGCTGGGCTCGGAAAGCGGCCGGACGCCACCCCGGAGCTGCCTTCCTCAAGAGACGCCCGAGACACCCAACTCTTGCTCCGCTCGAGGGATCAAGCCCACCACCGACAGCGATCCCGCCCGTCCCACAAGCCCCTACCTGGTTTGTTGAGTGGCGGAGGCTGGAGGACGGCGGCGGGCTGCTCGGAAGCCCATCTCAGGGCGGCGGCGGCGGCTGCCAATTCCATCGGGGGACGGTGGGAGGCGCCGGCCGGGCCCTCCGCGGGACCGGGGACGGTGGCAGGCGCTGCTCCGGGGTGCCCGGGCGGCGTAGCAGAAGCGGGCGTAGGAGCGGCGGCGGCGGCGGGCAGGGCGCGCAGCGTGTCGGGCAAGAGGCTCTCCAGGCTCTCGTTGGCCTGCTGGCGGCGCAGCGCCACCTGGGCGGCCATGACGCGCTGCCGCTCGATGATGAGGATGCACTTCTCGCAGGTGCAGTCCTTGAAGCGGCAGTAGCGCTTGTGGCCCTTCAGCCAGGAGAGCACGCCGTGGTTGCGGCAGCGCGCGCACTTGGGCGTCCGCTGCAGGGGCGCCCGGGCCGGCTGAGCCACCGGGCCGCCCATGTACAGGTACGGGGAGCCGTAGCCGTTCATGGCGGCCCCGTCAGCCCCTCCACCCCGGCCGCTAAGCCCGCCTCACTCGCGCCGGGGCCATGTTTCGGCGGCCAAACGCGGCGGCGCTGCCCCGGCTCTGCTGGCGCCGAACCAGGCGCTGAACTCGCCTCAGCTCAAGTGCAAGTTGGGTCGGCGGCTCCCTCGCCCCCGCCAGCGCTTCCCCGCCTCTCAGACGAGGCTCCTCCTCCTCCCTCCTCCTCTCGGCCGAGGCCGCGGCGGCGCTTCTGGCTTTCCCCCCTTTTACCAGCGCCAATTCCCCCGCTCCTCTTCGCCTAGCTCTCACCCTCACACATACAACCCCCCCTTTTCTGGAAACAGGTGGACTCGCCCACTGCGCCGCTTTCCTCGCCGAGGCCGTTTGTTCCTCGAAAGCTCGCAGGGGTGGGGGGGGGGGGGGGGGGGGGGGAGGCGCGGCGGGGGGGGGGGGGGGGGGGGGGGGGGAGAGAAGGGAAAGAGCCACTTCGAAGGGGGCGAGGGGGGTGGAGAGAGCGAGGCACCCAGTGCGTGCGCGCCTGTAGATGAAAGCCACGGATGTTGTACGTTGCCGGCGTTGTCCCTTCTGGATCGGGACGCGAGTGGCTCGAATCAATGGCCTCGGCCAGGAATTGTACTGCGTCGCCAGGGGTCTCTAACCTTGACCAACTTTAAGACTTGTGGACTTAAACTCCCAGAGTTCCTCAGCCAGCTTTGCAAAGCTGGCTGAGGAAAGCAAAGCTGGCTGAGGAACTCTGGGAGTTGAAGCCCACAAGTCTTAAAAGTTGGTCAAGGTTGGAGACCCCTGACCTACGTCATCCCTGAGTCCCCCTCCTCTCTCTTTCCCCCCCCCCCCCCCCCCCCCCCCCCGCAAACAACACACAGGGATTTTTAGTTTGCCCCCCCCACACACACACACACACAAAACCCCACGTGCATTCAAGGATCCATCCAGTGGCAAATCCCAAATAGGCTGCCGCGTGTGTGTTCTCCACACAGCACCCTTTGACCTCCACACACAACCCGACCATCATCAGTTTGGCTTGAAGATAAGGAAGCAAAAGCCAAGGCGGATCAACGCGCCATTCAACCTCAAGCTCCTGCCAGGCTTTGGGACTTGCAAAGCAACCGGGACCCCTCCCCTTCCCCCCCTCCCCACTTTCTGCAGAAGAGGGGGCGGAGCCCTTGCTGAAGGTTCTGTCTTCCAGCCCTCTAAAACTTTCAAGCGCCGGGATTGGCTGAAGGGACCCTGCCAGGAGTAACTCTTTCCCTTCCGGCGCGATTTATAACCAATAATCCGCTTGGACACTAAATCGCTGCCTCTGACTCGCGGGGTGAATTTCTAAGCACCATATTAGAGGCTGCAGAACGAGACGATCGAGGTGCATTTCGCTTCCCCCCCCCCCACAAAAAAAACCCTGACCTCCCCCCTCCAATACATACGCAGGCATTGTTCCAGAAATCCTTCTATGTATTCATTGGGATGTAAATATCTGCTAATAGATTTCTCAAAGGAGGGGAGAGTAGAGATTTGCAAAGCATCAGTGCAAGGGACACGGATGCGGGCATCCAATCTAAAAACCACGATTTTGGCTTTAGATTTGTGAGCATCTTTTAGAAAGGTTGCGCAGTATAAACAAGTTGTAGCCCATTCGAAACCGCGGTTCTAAGTCTGAGCAACCGCGCGTTTTAATGCAGAACATTTTGCTATAATCAGGGAGAAATAATCAGACTTTAATAAAAGACCGTTTCAGGTCTCTTTTGTATTGTTTGTCCGTTGGATTTTACTTTGGGGTTGCTGAGAGCCTCTGGAATTCCCCCCCAGTCCTCCCCAGGCTAAACGTGGATGGTTAGGGAAGGGAACATTTTGTTCAATGTTCAACAGCTCTTGTTAAACCTAAACCGGAGTGGGAAAATGGATAATGCCAGGGAAGGAAATAAAAGAGGATTGGGAATTGGCCTTGGAAAAGAAATGGACATAAATTGAAGAAGGCGATGGGAATATTTTTTTTTCTCTCGAACGAAACATGCTCTCAATAATTCGTAAGGTGGAGAATATGAACTTGTAGTTTGCAGAAATGATTATATTGAGTCACTTTTTAAAAAAGAAAAGCGTGAGCTGCTTATTTGACGAATTAAAACTAAATTTTAACCTTAACATTTTAAGAAAATACAACAAAGCGAGACACTGAACCCCGATGATACTGAAGGATTATATACCGATTAAACACAGGATCAACTGTGTGTTGAGCGAGGAAGGAGGAACCCGAGAGGCGTGGGGCCGGAGGTCAGGCAGGCGGGCAGGCCTCTTTTGGCCCTGGCGGGACCCAGGTTCGATCGGCTCTTCCAGGCAAAAGGAGCCGCGACGTCGGCTGGCCGGTCGGCCTTCCCGGGCAGTCTCTCCTCTTAAGGAAGCGGGAATGGAGGCTTCCCTCCCGCGGGGTCATCGCAAGCCCCGGGCTTTTGAGCCGGGGCGCGGAGCCTTCCCCTCGCCTCTTTTACTGGGAATCGGACGAGTTCTGCCGCCTACGCAAACCCCGTCCCCCCCCGCCCCCCCCGCCCCCCCCCCCCCCCCCCGTATTTGACAACATCTCCCCCCCCCAGGTCCGGGTCGGCCTTTCTGTGAGCGCCACGTCCCCTGCTTTAAGAGCCTATTGTAACTCAACACCTGACGAGAACCGGTCCCATCGCTCGGGGCAGAAAAGGTTTAGTCAAGCACATAATGGGATCCCAGCAGAAGGCTTTTCAGAAGCGGGGCCCAGGGTAAACTTCGCCACATGAACTCCGTTTCCAGGGCTGTTAAGCTTTTAATTGGGAAAGGAAAAGCGGCGTAATAAGAGAGGAGGCAATTTCAAGGTGACTCGAACGTGGTCGCCGTTTGCGCCCCGGAGAATAGCTTGAAAAGGGGATGAATGGACCAAACATATGGTCCCAATCAGGTCGAGCGGCAGGGCGGGGCGGGGCCCTCTGCCTTTGGGGGGGGGAAACGGGGGTGGGGGTGGGGTAGAGACCCCAGCTCGTTTTCTACGAAAGCCAGGCGCCCAGGCAAGAAGGGCAGAGGCAGCCGAAGTCCGACCCGACGAGGAAGGGGGAATGGAGTCCTTGAAACTGGAGCCTAGAATCATTAAACCAGAGCCCCTTCATCTGGGTTTGATTCGTAGAAAGGTGGAGGGCTTCCATGAAATAGGAAGGCAAACCTGGCATTCTGAAAAAGAAGAGCTAAATAGGATGCAGAGTGATGGGTACCTGGGTAGGACACACACACACACACACATATATTCACTCTTGTTATTAAAGGTATGCAGGTGCTCCTGTCTATCAATTCTATTCCGGTGAATATCCCATATTTTAATATATTGAAATGCTGGAAGAGGACTGGGGAGGAGAAGGGCTTAGGTGGGACTTCATGTTTGGGGGTCTCAGTCAGCAGGAGGTTTCCGAAATATAGCAAGACTGCCTCGTTGTCCGCCAAAGCTGCTGAATTAAGGGGCAGTCTGGTCCAAAAGACAGGGACGTCACATCCAGAAGGCAAAAGCACCCTCCAGCCACCCCACCCATTGTGTAATTTGTTATTGTAGGCCGCCTGAGGATTCTGGCCGGACAGGCGGATATAAATGAGTGAATGCAAAGAACTATCGGCAGTTCTGGATTAAACTTCGCTCCTTAATTAAAGCTCTGTCGGAAGCGATCAAGGAAATTAAAAAGGTTTCCAAATCAGCAAAGGAGTAGAAAAGGATTTTGACAACTGGAGCCCCAGAGCGACCCTCGGAGCCTCAAAAATACCTCGGAGCAAAGTGACAGGTGGGGCCCTGAAATTAAGACCAGTGGGATCGATCCAACTGTTCCCGGCTCACTAAAAACAGTGGGGCTCAAAACGAACAAAGGTCGCCCTTGAGTAGAAGAAGTGGCGTCTGTCTTTCGGCTAATACTTTACTGACCCGATCGAAAAAAACAACACCTGTGCCTTCCAAATGCCAGAAAAGGAAGGAAAGTAGCCATTCCGACTCCTGTTTAAAAGAAAGTAAAATCCGCCTCTTCCTCCATCACTGAACTGATTTGAAATGTGTTTTCACCCCAAAACTTGCATTGTAGCACAGGTCAAACACTTCTCCTTCTATCCCCTCTCCTCAAAAACCAAGTAGGGAAAAATCCGAAGTAGTAAAAATGAAATATAGCCCCACTGTATTTAATGGGGCTTTAAATGGACCTCAGCACCCGGGAGTTTGAGAGCAAAACATCGGCATCTGAGAGGGTGTCAGAATGGTTTTGAAAGAAAGAGACCAACGGGAACTTGGGAAGAAAACCCAGCGGGGTCTCCTAAGAAAGAAGAACGGCGCCCTAAATATTTAGATGGACCGGAAAAACCAATGCTTGGAAGCTGCCGCCGTACACTTAAAATGTGTCTGGTTTATTTTTTCTATTGGTTTGAAATTGGTTTTATTCGTTTGGGGAGGACATAGAATCGCGGAAAATATATCTTTTAAAATAATAATAATAATAATCGATCTGAAAAAAGGCTCAACCGAGAAGATGACACCCTTCTTATAAAACCTGAAGGCGAAGCGAAGGCAGGTAAGTCTTTCTTCCAGCGGCAACTTCCTATCCAGTTCGGGAAGAGGGGAAAAAAAAAAAAACATAGACTCCAAACATCCAGCAGGAGCTCTGATCGTTCCCGGGGACAGGCGAAGGGATCGGAAGGCCCCAGCCGCGCCCTCTCAAGGAGCCCTTCCATTTGAAGGGAAAAGATTTTTGCTCGCCGCCGCCGCCGCCTTGTTCGGCTCCCCTCCGCCGCCGCCCCCCTCCACCCTCCCCAGCAGAGCGGGCACAATGGGGCCAAAAGGACGAATCCCAGCTGCACGAGAAACAGCCGTGGAAATCTCGAGAAAAATGAATAGAATTAATAAAGGTCACCGATCACTAGCCATTCATAAATATTTGGTGACACCTTTCTGGTTCGGGTTCTGCCTCTCCGCCCCTTTCGCGAGGGGGGCGGGGCGGAGACTCGGGAGGGTCGGCATTCGGGTGC